TACTTTTAAATTTAATATTTATGAGATATTTATTTTATGGATTTATTTTAAGTAATTTTAATTAAAATAGATGTAAAAAAGAATATAATAGAAATGAAAAACATTTACTTGTACTTCTTTAGTTGTATTATTTTTTCGCCATCTATCGCTTTTATTTTATTTTTTTCACATTTTGTAAACGTAACTTTTAATTTAATTAAAAATAAAATAATCTTTAATGTTTTTATTTAAGTATTTTGAATTAAATAAATGAAAAAATAAAAACATTGGGCACGACAAACATGGTCCACACCCCGATCTAGTGATGAGCTACGAGGAAAAAAAGAAAAAGTAATGTGACGTTGAGTGACATAACATGATACTCCTCATTAAATAAATACATGGTATCACACCTTTCACTCTATCAGCCCAATGGAAACCACCAATGAGTAGACTTTTCCTTAAAAAGATTTTCTCACGTGTAAAATTTTTGCAACATTGTGATTGGTTGGTATGCCTTGTCATTGATAGGTGAGTTTCTCATTGAACACCTCAGAGCTAAGCTATCCCACTTGCAAATAGATTTTGAAAGGCGGGTACATACATCGTACATACGTACTCGTACTACCTCCGTCCCTAAATACTTGCCACATTTGTATTTCTAAAGCAAAATATCAAACTTTTTCAATTCATTTTATTTACATATTGGTATAGAAATAAAAAATAAAATTTACATGTCAAAAAATTACATTAAAATTTCTTCGAAATAAGAGGTGTCAAGAATATTTTATTTTATCAAATAACCATTGAAAACTTAAAAATAAACAAAAGTTTCCGCGACTGCTGAAAAAGCAAATGTTGTGAATATTTTGGGACGGAAGGAGTATAATGTTTTGGGTTTAGTACAATCCCGTGAGAGTTTTTAATTTTTATCCCCACTTGCAAATATATTTGACAGGCGTGTGTACTCATATTTACTGTAATCTTTTTGGTATAAGTACAATCCCGTGAGAGCATCTCTACTAGTCTTATTTAACACAAGTACATTTAAATTATTCTTCAAAAGGTGAAATCGCTCACTCCGGGCACCCCTCACTCCCGACCCGACGGGAATGTGAGAGGAGATAAATCACGGTAATCCAAGTATAACAATTAGCTAGACCATATCCTAGTGCGTACCTGAGACTCCTCCCATTTTTCAGAGGTGGCCGCCTCCACAATGGTCGCTGCCAGGTTTCGATCCTTGGTCATTCTCCAAACTTCACCAAGTGTTTGCCACTTGGGCTACCCGTGCGGGTCAGTACATTTAAATTATTGTGAGGGATCAAATGGATGGTGAGAGAAGATAATTCATTTAAACATTTAAACACCATCTATGTAGTTATGGCCCCACCCACTAAATAATTTTAATTAATCAATTGCGTTATTGTAAATAATTGATAAATGTAATCACTAAATTATTTTACTTATCAATTACTTTTTATTACTTAATTATTATTCATTTTTTTCTATCTTTGAAAGATATGTTTTATTTAAAATTTTAGTGTTAATTAGTTATAATAATTTATACTCTTCCGTTTCTTGAAACACCTACTCTTTCTTTTTTTTTATTTTTCCCATAACACTTTCTCTTCTATTAAAAAATCATGTTTACCTTTACATTTTCATATCCTACTTATGACATCATAGTTTTTCACTAATAATCTATCCATCACATCTTACTTGTAATTTTTTTCTCTAATTTAATTTGTTTCTTCTAAATATAAATTTTTATAAATTTTTTATATTTAATTGGATATTTTTTTGTAATTTTTTATTCATTAATTATGTTATGAAAAAAAGTAATATTATTTTATAAAAAAGTAATTTTTTTATATTTAATTGGATAATAATATTTTATTTATCAATTATATTATAGTAAAAAAATTAATAAATGTAATCAATAAATTATTCAATGTAGTCACTAAATGACCTTCAAATAATTCAATTGATTTAAAATTAAACTCTATTTAATTTGTCAAGAAAAAACTAGCAATATTTTGTGCTGACCTCTCAAATCGTCTCACTTTTTACTATTTTTGTCCTAGAATTATTGTTCTATCTAGAGAATGAGATTTGATTATATTGAATTTATTATTTTTCAATCCAATTTACATAAATAATGGTACAAATTTTCAAAATTAAATTTATATTTTGAAAAGACACTTAAAAGTTTTTACTCCCTCCGTTCTTGAAAAGAATTTCTACTTTGATCAAGTGATAAAATAAGAGAGTGCTAAATTGTAGTTGATTTCAAATTTTGTCCTTAATGTGATGGATAGATTATTAAAGAAAAATATGATGTGATAGGTAGGGTAAGAAAAAATAAGGGTAAAAGGGTTTTTTTATTAGAAAGTGAAAGTGTTTTGTTTGAAGTAGAAAAATGAAAGAAAGTATTTTTGAGAACGGAGGAAGTATAAAATAAGAGATGACATGATTGTGTCATTTTAGACTTTTTAGTTAATGATTAAATGCAATTCTTTTACTTACTATAATTAGGTTTTATTTTATTTATGCATATTATATATATATATATATATATATATATATATATATATATATATATATATATATATATATATATATATATATATATATATATATATAGACACACACACACATATATACATATATACATACATACATACACACACATATATATATATATTTATGTATATATATGTTTGTATATACATACATACATATATATATATATATATATATATATATATATATATATACATACATACATATATATATATACACACATATATATACATACATACATACATAGATACATACATACATACATACATACATACATACATACATATATATATATATATATATATATATATATATATATAGAGAGAGAGAGAGAGAGAGAGAGAGATTTTATATCAAATGAGAATGATGCATAGTGAAAGAAATAAAAATGCATGTGATCTATTAGATTTAAAATCTAAGTACTATTACAAATCAAAAATTCTGAAAAATTGAAAAATCACGGTGGCAATTTTGTAAATGAATTGAACTTTCTGAAAATGCACTATTAAAAGTGAAACCTAATAAAATTTGATGAAACTTTGGCATTAAAAATAGTATAGCCGATGACGATTTAATAGTACTAATCACTATTAATGCAATTATATAAAAGATTACCATTTGTCCCTACCGAAATTGTTCTTTATATTTTGATAAATACACAAACTGTAATTATATTGGAATAAGTTTTGAAGTCATTGTTGGAAAAAAACTAAAATGATTAGGAAAAGAAGACAAATTCTATAAAAGACTTAAGGTCCATCATGTACTTATATACTCCGTATTATATATTTATATATAACCAAAATAATATTTTTTTTACTATAAGCATTTTTTAAATAAAAAAAGTATAAAACCATTTTTTTATATGATTAGAACATCCACAAATTTGATATGCACCCAAAGTGCACCAAAGAAGCACTCTAGGAAGAAATGAGAATGAGTGGAAAACATTAGGAAATAAAGTTCTAATTGCTTATGGAGTATAATTGTTTTCGATGGGTTTACAATTATTTGAAAATTATTCAAACAATACTCCATCGTCTTAAAAATATTTTCCACTTTTCATTCATAAAAAAACATTTTCAATTAAAATCTATTTTTATAGCTACTAATTATTAATCTAGCTATCACATCACATCTATTCACTAGTTATTTACTCATCACATGCATTTTATCACACCCGACAACAAAAATTGGAAAAGAATTAATATCAAAATTACACATTCCTTAAATTCTACTCCTGTGTCCAAAATTCATTTACACTCTTCAAATAAACTGGTATAAAAATAAACGGTACAAACTATTTACTTAAAGACTACCAAAAAATCTACAACACGATATGTGACAAATATATTTTATTTTATTAAATGATGTACCAATGAAAACATATGAGTAAAAATTTGAAACGTAGTGAGTAACATTTTCCAAAAGTGGAGAAATTTTGTAAGACGGAGGTAGTAATAATTATTATCATAATAAATAAACTGGTATAAAAATAAACGGTACAAATTATTTACTTAAAGACTACAAAAAAATCTACAACACGATATGTGACAAATATATTTTATTTTATTAAATGATATACCAATGAAAACATATGAGTAAAAATTTGAAACGTAGTGAGTAACATTTTCCAAAAGTGGAGAAATTTTGTAAGACGGAGATAAGAATAATACTCCCTCCGTCCCATAAAAATGGGATGTTTTGTTTTTTGAAGAGATTTAAGTGAGTATATTTTGGTATTAAATTTCCAAAAATGTCCTTTGATGTGATGGGTAAAAATAGGATTTGATAGATAGATTATTAGTAAAAAGGTATGATTTGATAGGTAGGATATGAAAAAGTAAGGGGTAAAGTGACTTTTTAATAGAAATAAGAAGTGTTTTTTGGGACGGATGAAAAAGAAAGGAGAAATGTTTTCAGGGACGGAGAAGTATAAAAGATGCACCAAAATAATTTTTAGCGTTGTTGAAAGAAACTAGAATGAATGAAAAGAAATTGTAAGAAATTGGAAGGAACAGAAAAAGACTAAGAAAAAACTAGAAGATGTTTTAAGTTAAGAGTTAAAATTGAAGAAATGTACAGAAATGTACTTCCAGAATCATCGTCACATTTACTATTTTGGTCTCTTGATAATTTTTGTTTGTTTGCATGTTTTCATATCTTATTTTGTAGAAAATTATGATGTAGATTTGAAAATAAAATTTGTATTTTTAAAATTTTTATATACCAATTTATAAACAAAATTAAAAATAAATTTTACATATTGTTCAAAATGAGACTATAATTTTAGGACGACGGGGAATATTATTTATTATGTGCAAGTTATGAAAATAGAGAGTACTACACTTTGGAGTGTTGTAGAGATGGGACAACGTGAGTATATGTATCCCTAATAAACCATCTATAAAAGGAGAGTCATGTGTATGTAGTGTTTGTAGGGAGAGTGAATTCAAAGCCAAAATACATTAAAAAGTGAGAAAGATGAGAGTTTGCGAAGTGCTACATATGAATGGAGGGGTTGGAGATTCTAGCTATTCCAAAAACTCTATACTCCAGGTACTAATATGAAATATATATATATATATATATATATATATATATATATATATATATATATATATATATATATATATATATATAAGTCAAGTTTAATATTCTCAGTTAAATATTTAAGTAAAATAATAATTTACGTGCCAAAATAAAATATATTTACTATTCAGTTAGCATATAACCTACATGTTAGCTAGAGATGTTCCAACTTCTAAGACTCCGTCCCAAATTAAGTTGTATAATTACTATTTACATGGTCATACTTCATTTATTTTTTTCTTTATTTTTGTTACTTATTTAATAAAATAATATAGTATGTCACATCTTGTTTCGTAAAACTTTTCGTTCATTTTGTTTTTAATCTGTAATTTTAATTTATTAGTCCACTCCAATTGCCAAATAAATAGTATTAAAAATAATTTGAGCCAAACATCGTAAACAGGAACAAGCGATTTAAATTTAGACTGAGGGAGTATATTTTAATTTGCTAGATGAATCTACTTGGAAGACCAAAATAGCAATTTCACCAACAACTAATTACGTATGAATTGTTCCATGCCATACTCGTAGGAAAAAAAATTAGTCCGAATGAATCCATCCATCCCACATAGATTTGTAGAGGTGTAACGATGGTTGACTGAATTCATTTTGAGTTTAATTTATATAAAAAAATGATATGAAATTAAAAATTAATCATACGGTCAACAAATAATAAGAAGTGAAAATAATATACGGAGTATGTAGTATTATTTTATGAAATAAATAAAGAAATGAGGATTTTACTTAAATAGCACTAAAACATAATTACTTTTCCTAAATAGCACTACATGTGTTTTTCTTCCCAATGTAGCACTTTTAGTCATTATGCATTAGTCTTAGCAAATATTTGCCATCACTGGACATTATTAAGTGTTATTTAAGGAATAAAATAATTTAAGTGTTATTTAAGGAAATGACTTAAGTTTTAGTATTATTTAGTGCAAATATTTCTGAAGAAATTTAAAAAAATAAAGTAAATAGGCAAACCTTGTTTTCGAAAAAAAAGACAAGTCTTTTTTATATTGAGGGGTTTGTTTCGTACATTTAGTCTCCGTTTGGTAACAACGTTAGAATTTTGAAAAAAGTTATCTAACGGCAACCTTTAACGTTAGCGTTTTCAGAATTTATCTACACCACTAAAATTTTAACCAGAACGTTAACGCTAAGCGAAAATATTATTCCCAAACAAGGCCTTATTCAACCTTCATTTGGTTTAATTTCTTTTTCACGTTATTAGTGATTTATATATCTTACCATGCCAACAGAAAAAGGGATTGGTTTTGACAAAGCCAATAGCAGAAAAAGCCATAAATGATACCTACACAAAGCTCAAGCCACACACGGTCTCCATTGCGGACCTCGGCTGCTCTTCCGGGACAAATGCCTTCTCCGCCGTCTCCGACCTCATCAAAGTGATACACCACTGTGTCCAGAATGAGGTTGGAGGGGGACTCCGGTCCCCGGAATATAACATATACCTGAACGACCTTCCCGGCAACGACTTCAACGCCATATTTGGATCCTGGCCTCAGTATTTACAAGACTTGAAGAAAGAGATGGGAGAAGGGTTTGATGGAGAATGTTTCTGCAATGGAGTCCCGGGATCCTTTTATGAGAGGCTATTTCCTACCAATTTCCTCCATTTTGTTCATTCTTCTTATAGTCTCATGTGGCTATCTCAGGTACGTTCCGTTTGCCAGATCTGATCTAATTTTTTGAAGATCTAATCTAATTTGAACTAATCTGTTCTGATCGATTTGCAGTTATAATTAAAGCTATTTATGATCTGATCTGATTAGGTCTGATTATAATAAGAATAAATAATAAGCAGAAAAAAAAAGTTGAACGGAACGCTGCCCTAGTTACTTTTAAGTTAGTTGTGTCGTTTTTCCCGTGTTGGCCAGATTATTCACAAAACTATCACTCGCCATTTATGAATTTTCCGAAATAATTTATTTACTCCCTTTCTATTTTTTCTTGTCCCACAAAATCCTTCCCTTTTCTATTAAAAACGAATTTTACCCCTATTAATTCTTAATCTATCTATCACACCATACTTTTTTACTAATAATCTATCCATCACATCGTACTTTTGCCCATCACATCAAGGGTATTTTTTGAAAGTCAATACAAAATTATCTCTTCCTTAAATTTTCTAAAAATCAAAACGAGAACATCTTTATGGGACGGAGTAAGCATTAATTAATTCATTCTACGTCCATGGAAGAGTATTTAATTTATACTCCGTAAGCAATTTATAAGTACAAAAATCGGCATTAAGCCAATAAGCATCAGCACAGAGAAAACGACCCCTAAATTCTACCTTAATGATTAACACGTTGCTAATTATTAGGTACCAAGAGGAGCAGAGGAGAACAAGAGGAACGTTTACTTGGCACCAAGCACTCCGCCATGTGTGGTTAAAGCGTACTACGAGCAGTTTGAAAGAGACTTTGGGACGTTTATAAAGTGTAGGGCCAAGGAGTTGGTGGCTGGTGGGGGTATGGTTTTAACCATTGCTGGGCGGAAAGGTGAGGACCCACGCAGCAGGGAATGTTGCCATCTCTGGGAACTCTTAGGTTTGGCCCTCAGTGATCTTGTTGACCAGGTATGTTTTTGGTAATAATTAAGGTTGTGTGTGTGTGTGTGTGTGTTTTAACTTTTGGTAATAGTTAAGGCATAATTTCTTGGTAATAATAAGGAATACGGCGAGATCGGCTCTGAAATATGAAAAAGTGTAATTGGCCATATGCAGAATTCATGTTTTGGGCCATATTTTATTTTTTTTCAAAGTACTTACATCATAAAATTAGTGCTAAATTTAAAAATATGGGCCTAAAAATATAAGGGCCATGTGCGGTTGGCCACTTCGTACTCCCTCCGTGCCGCCCATGGAATACCAATTTTTTTTGGTGTTTTAATTTTGGAAGAATATTAAGAAGGGAAAAAGGAAAATAAAAAGGAAAAGAAGCGTTGGCAAGCCAACTAAGTCTCCACGTAGGGGAAATGACTCCCAAGCTAAGGTGAATTCTTTTTTCTCGAGAGATTTGAAAATATTCAGGTTTCTTTTGATAGAAAATGAACTTTATGTATTTAATTGAAATAACGTTCAAAGTTCAGGTATCATCGATGAAATTTAGCCTTTAATTGTTCAAGCAAGAAGCAATTGTGACCTTGATTTGAGTTCTTTTCTGTTTTAACCAATCAATTTTTGTTTCAGATTTAAAACACATCATTTTATCCTGATTTCAAAACTTATACCTTATCATACATCTCCAAATTGCTTCAAGCATACCCTTATTGCTAAGAGTGCTTCTTTGGTGAACTTATAATCCACAAAACTTTTTGTGGACCTCGCAGTAAAAATATTTCTTATTTTTATTTTTTGCTATTTTTTTCAAGGTAATAAATATTTGCTTACCCCCTCATATCCGTATACAAAAAAAAATTGTGGACTTTAGGTGGTCCATCATATGGCATTTACATATTGTTGTTAAATCCTAGGGGACGTTTGGTTCATGAATTACTCTATCTGTTTGGTCCAGTACAGGAAAGGAAATAGAATTCCTTTTCTTCGTGTTTGGTTCAAAATAGGGGAATCAAATAGCGTTTGTTCCAACCCCTTTCGCCGCTACTCGCATTGCCCTCCTCCTTCCTACTACTCAAGACAACATAACATACATAGTCACACAAAGCTAGGGTTGGAATTTGAAAAAAAAAACTTGAGGGGTTTCAATTGAATTATAAAAAAATTAAAATTTGTAAAAAATTTGTAAAGGGGAGGAAACCGAGCTTGTAAAAAATTTGTACAAAAATTTGTAAAAAATCAGAAAAGAGAGGAAACCGAGCTTGTAAAAATTTGTAAAAAAATTTGTAAAAATTTGTGAAAATTTGTGAAAATTTGTAAAAATCTGTAAAAATTTATAAAAATCTGTAAACAAATTTGCAATTCACCTCCTTGGGTGGAGGG